AGGAGAGAAATGGGAGGGGAGGGGGAGGAGGAAGAAGGGGAGAGAAGGGGGGGAGGGGAGGAGGAGGAAGACAAAGAAACCTATAAATCTTGTAAGAGCAAAAATATGTAAGGATATTGAATTTTTGAATAGAAAAAAATTTTTTCAATGTATAAAATCACAAGTGTATATCAAAAAGGAACAAATAGAGGAACAGATTTTAAATTTCTCTACGTAAAATTTAAAAAGGCATAAATATTCAGCATTTTTTATAATGGCAAAAAATATGAAAAAATATAAACGACGAACATTTCTCAGTACAATACCAATTAAATAAATGTGTCTCCACATTTCTAAGCAGCAGAAAAGGGGTTATCAAACGTGCCTTGCCTTATGAAAGGACTAAAATATAGCTCAGATGCACACTATCAGGGAAAATGAGATCCCTCTAAGAATTTGGTCATGATGTTATAGTTTTCCTAAGGCTCCAATTTAAAAAAAAATACAGTTCACATTCCCTAACACATCCTTATTAAAGCACAGAAGAAAGGACCAGCATGAATCATTGTCTCCCTTCCCCTTCTCCAGGGCACAACACCCAGAATAGCTTCCTGATGACAAAGCAGCAAGACCTTTGAAAGCCTTAATCTTTAGGGAGGAAATGAAAGAAAAAAACAAGTCCTTGACACAGACTTCAATTTTTAGGTCTTTACAAGGCAGAACAGAACAGCAGTGAAATTGATATGAATCTTTTGTTTTTGATTCTTTCCACTAGGGCTTGCAGCTGCTAAACTGTGTGTGTGTGTATGTGTGTATGAGAGATCTGCCTGGTTTGCTCTTTCACTATTAATACAACTACTATTTTGCAGGTGACAATATACTTTAATATTTTTCATTCTGATGACCAGGTGTCTTCATAGGCATCATCATTTTAAACAAATATAACAAGTCATGTTAATGTTATTTTGCACTTACCAAGCATCTTTCATTTGACAATTTCATTGACTTTACTATTTCATCATGACATATTTTCTCTTTCTGGCACAGATGGTAACTTGTTTTGTAATATGGTTAAGTACTGTAGATGACAATGTAATACTGGTAATAGAACCCTTTTCCCATTGAGACACAGGTACTTTTAACCACTAAAAGGCAGCGCCACTAATCTGGTAGGTATTTTGGTCATCAGCCTGGGAAACCTGTATTGAGTTTTTGTAAAACATGTTGGCATAATTCTCAAGTTTCTAACTTGGAAGACTGAGTAGCTGGCAATGCCACAAATTAGTATTTAAAAAATCAGGAGGAAGGGCAATGTCATAAGAGAAAATAAGTTTGTTTTGGATCATGTTGTGCTTGGCCTATAGGACAGAGAGTCGGATGATAATGTATAGCAGACAGCTAGTCTTGTGGATCTGGAGTTCTGCAGCTATGTCTGAGCTGGGGTATTAGTATACAAGTGATAGTTAAAACAATGCAAGTGAATGAAACTGTTTCAGAAAAATGTACAAAGTAAGAAGAGATAAGGACACAGGGCAGAACCTTATTAAAAACTACAATCTAAGAGAAAGAGATTCCAGGGAAAGATACTAAGTAGTGGCCACAGAGGTAGGAGAAGGTATCTATGACATCAGAAGATAATAATGCCATACACGTCGAGGTCTGATGATGATCAACAGTGAAGAGCATAAGACCGTGTTCAAAGGAGAAATGTTATCGGATTTGGTAACATGGATGTCATTTTACTTAAACTTTAGTACTAAGATCACTAGTGGTAAGGGTAGAAAACATTGCTGTGGGTTAACTTATTTGTTCTGTAAATTCCAATGTTTATAATTATTTTTTTTCATAGGACTACACGTAACTTGAAAGTTAAAAAAATAAAAGGAACATTTGTTAATTACTTCCTACTTGCCATGAACTTCAGCGGGCAAATTTGCATGCTATTTCATTTTTTCTTTCCATCAAACATTATAATATAAATAATATTATCCTCATTTTTATAAGTGAGAAAATCAAGGCTTTATAAAGTTAAGTAATGTTATGTAATAGTTAAGACTGATAACTTACTATTTTTTCTAAAGCTTTCATGTACTATCTCATAAATTCTCACAACAATTCTGTGAGATACATACCAGTGTTATCTCATTTTACAAATAAGGAAACAGAGGCACAAAGAGTTATATAATTTACCCAATACCACATAATGGTAAAGCAGGGATTAAAATATGAGCAGTCTGACTCAAAATCTATAATTATAAGTATTATGTCATTGTTTTCCCTCAAGGACCTGAGTGATATGTCTAGATTTCAACCCAAGTTCTGACTGATTCTAAAGACTTCTGTCAGTCTACTACACAATGTTGCCTCAAAATTCCGAAAATGGTGTTTTAATAATGGTGAACATTAAGAATTCAACTCTTTAAAATATTAAAAATTTCCCCTTATCTTCAAAACTCTTTGAGAAGGTCTCACTTTCAGAACTTACTCTAAATAAAGAAACTCTAACCTAAACCAACTTTTCCACTGAATTCTGAAAATATCCAACAGGAATACTGGTTTAAAGATATTGTTAAGAGGTAAAATATATACATATTTTTATAAGGGGAGGATTAGTACAGTAAATCCTATCAACTATGAATACCTTAATATCAATTAGTTCATCAGATCTTTTCCAATGAGACTGCTAGTTGAGAATAAATTCTGTTTTAAAAAAAAAAAAAAAAAGACAAGCCTGGCTCAGGGTAAAGAGTTCCAGGGAAAAATAGTAGGCCTTATCATGGGAAGAGCATGAGTGTTTGGAAACACATGATTATGTACATATTTGTGAGGTCTGATTTTTAAAAATTAGTAGGATACTAGACCCTATAACTCATTTGACAATTTTATCCAGTCCAAACCTTACTTAAAACACTGAAAATGGAGTAATTGCCAAAGATAAAGCAAAACCCATTAAATATTATTAGATTCCACTCATTTTCAATACTCAAAGCTTATTAGAGTGTTTGATATGAAGAAAAAGAAAAAGAAACTCAATATCAATAAAGTTATAATAAAAAAAATATAAGGTATAACTAAAACTACCATTGATAAGCATCAACCAGTTGGCTACAAAATGATGCTTACAGGATATTCTAAAAATGACAATACTCTATTATAGAGTATTTCTCAGATGTGTCCTAAGATGCTCCTAAGAGGAAAAATCCCAATGAGTCATCATCATTGTCTTTATCCTCTTCCTCATCATCATTACATTACAGACCTGCCCTCAAGGGCTCATAGATTAGTGGCCATCATCTTCTCCCAGCCAACACCTTAATGAAAAAGAATGTTATTTGAGAAAAAATTTTGTTAAAAAAAAAAAAAAAAAAAAAGACAAGCCTGGCTCAGGGTAAAGAGTTCCAGGGAAAAATAGTAGGCCTTATCATGGGAAGAGCATGAGTGTTTGGAAACACATGATTATGTACATATTTGTGAGGTCTGATTTTTAAAAATTAGTAGGATACTAGACCCTATAACTCATTTGACAATTTTATCCAGTCCAAACCTTACTTAAAACACTGAAAATGGAGTAATTGCCAAAGATAAAGCAAAACCCATTAAATATTATTAGATTCCACTCATTTTCAATACTCAAAGCTTATTAGAGTGTTTGAGGATATGAAGAAAAAGAAACTCAATATCAATAAAGTTTATAATAAAAAAATATAAGGTATAACTAAAACTACCATTGATAAGCATCAACCAGTTGGCTACAAAATGATGCTTACAGGATATTCTAAAAATGACAATACTCTATTATAGAGTATTTCTCAGATGTGTCCTAAGATGCTCCTAAGAGGAAAAATCCCAATGAGTCATCATCATTGTCTTTATCCTCTTCCTCATCATCATTACATTACAGACCTGCCCTCAAGGGCTCATAGATTAGTGGCCATCATCTTCTCCCAGCCAACACCTTAATGCAACTGTCTCTTTTTAACAAGTGATTCGGGCACTCTGGTACAAAAGAATAAGTCTACATACCTGGTCATGGATGAGTCCATGATAGAGGATGTTCTGCATGTCCCTGCAAAGTCGCTCCAGGCCACCATACTTGGACCAGACATTGGGGCTGTTGGCTGACACTAAACCCTCCACAGTAGTCTTCAAATTACCCAGCAACTGCCAGTGCTCCTTCCTACAAGGGCATCAATTATAACAATGGTTAGTTAACTTGGACTTAATCCTGATCATGCCAAAGAAAGTCTAAGGCAAGAAACCTTCTGTCTCACATCCTAACATTCTCTCCCCTAGTAATTTTTAACTTGGGCATAAGACCCAATTCTGAGGATTGAAGTTGTAAAGAACACTAAGATTAAAAATTACCCTCACATTTACATGGCAATGTAAATGTAAGATGATCTTCGTCTATTATCATTCTATCCTCACATAAGTAGCTGATAATCGTGTTTTTAAGAATATGACCCATCCTTTTCTGGACAATGACGTCACATGAGCAATATATAAAGCAATGAGAACATTTGCTCAAAACTGGAAATCTTTTGCCAAACAAAAAAAAGCCAAAAAACAACTTTCTATTCACAATATTTCCAGCACTAAGTACACAAACTTGTAAACAAATATTATGGATAAAAATACAAATGGCACAGGATTTTTCCTTCATGATTTTTTAAGGTAAAACTGAAAAAATGTTTTAAGTTTGCACTAAGTCACTTTGGGACATGCCCCTAAATCAGTCAACTATTCGCTTATTCTCCTAGACCATCTAAAGCATTTTAGTGGAAAAGTTTAAAAACTGCTGCCCTCGATAATTTTCGAGGTTCCTTTTAAATCCCTAGCATTTTCTCAACGCAGCTTCCAACCCAATAAAACCCAAAACCACTGCATTTGAATGAAAAGAGTTGGATGTACTAAATCAAACTGGATAAGGGAAACATAAGGAAATGTGTCAAACTCCTCTTAGGCCCTCAATTGTTATGTTGGACACTTTACTTTACCCCTTAATTTCTTATTAGAATATTATTCTTTTCTCTTTTCAAGGAGAGTAATGAAATGGTAATACTTTCTTCAAGGAACTTTCACTGTAACTATTTTAAATCATTTAAATACCTACAATGATGGGAGGGTCCTGAATTAGAATCCTTTCTATCAGTATTCACAATTAACTTCTCATATATTTTGTACATTTTCTGAGCCATTTTTAACAAGTAGATGAATACAGTAAAAGAAGACAAAATAAAATGAATGAAGCTAGGTCTGGTACAGGAATATCATCTGAAAAGAGAAAGCCAGATGTATCTATCTCATTCTGGTCTGTTCTAAAAGCCCTGAGACTAAGAATTTATTCAAACTGGGAGACACCAGGCTTTCTACACCTTAGATCATTAAATATTTAAGTCACCAAACTCCCCTGTTCTATTTATTTCCTTTTTTCCCATTTTTATTGATATAATTGACATAAAACATTACATTAGTTTCAGGTAATGAATTTGATAATGATTTGATATATGTATATGTTGCAAAATGATTACCACAATAAGTTTAGTAACATTCATCAGTTCACATTGTTACAAATTTTTTTCTTATGATGAGAAATTTTTAGATCTACTCTCTTAGCAACTTTCCAATAAACAATATAGCATTGTTAACTATAGTCACCATGCTGTACATTACATACTCAGAAACTTATGAGTGGAAGTTTGTACCTTTGGACCACCTTCATCCATTTCTCCCACTCTCATTCTCCACCTCTGGCAAGCACCTGTTCTCTGTTTCTATGAGTTTGGGTTTTGTAGATTCCACATATAAGTAAGATCATACAGTATTTGTCTTTCTCTGTCTGACTTATTTAACTTAGCATAATGCCCTCAAGGTCCATCCATGCTGTTGCAAATGGCAATATTTCCTTCTGTATGGCTGAAAATATTCCATTGGATGTATGTGTCCATATCACATTTTCTTTATCCATTCATCTGTCAGTGGTCACATAGGTTGTTTCCATGTCTTGGCTACTGTAAATAATGCTTCAATAAACATGGGGTGCAGATATCTTTGTTTTAACTGATGCAGATATCTTTTTGAGATAGTGACTTTATTACCTTTGGATATACACCCAGAAGAAGAATTGCTAGATCATACAGCAGTTCTATCTTAAGTATTTTGAGAACTCACCATACTGTTTTCCATAGTGGCTACACCAATTTATAGTCCCACCAACAGTGCACAAGGGTCCCCTTTTCTCTACATCCTCACCAAAGCTTGTTATCACTTGTCTTTTTGATGACAGCCCTTTTAACAGGTGTGAGGTGACATCTCATTGTGGTTTTGATTTGCATTTCTCTAGTGATTGATGATGTGGAATACCTTTTCATGTACCTGTTTGCCATTCCCCTGTTCTAATTCTATACCAGTCCTGAGAGATCTTAAGAGAACACATCTCAAGATAAGATGCACACAGGACTAAAGTGATTATTAAAATGCCATTTATTGTTGTACTGTGAGAAACAGCCATCACAGAGGCCAACTGACTGCCAACTATTGCTTAAGTGACTCTCCAGTTCCTATGCTTCCTCAGGGGTAATCTGACTTGTTCTGACTGATACAGTTTTTACATTCCAACAGGTTTCAATCAAATGTTGCAGACCTGCGAGCCAGTCTGGTTCCTCAAGTTACTCTGCATATCTGTGTTCTGATTCATTCTGTATTTATCTTACAAGCTGGACTGTCAAAGAACATGTTGATAAGTCCTGAAAGCAGATACTAAGTACCCTATCATCCTAGGGCTTTGATTCCAATATTATACTAAGAGCACTGAAATCCTAGAAACCTTGAGCATTCAGATCTAACAACTTATCTACATAAAACTGAAGAACTTTCCCCACACAATAAAATGTCCCTGAGATACCAAAGCCACAAAAAAAGAATGTAGCTCTTATCTAAGATATACTGAACTATCTATATTTGGTATCTGTTCTTATAGAAGTAATTTAAAAAAAAAAATTGATTTACATAGCTAGTCTATTCAGTGTCTTTATCTTCATAGGATTCTTTATCCCAATGATATAGTTATCATTTTCAGAGAATTGAAATACTAAGTTCAGTTGAAGCCCATACACAGCGACTGGATTAATTCAGGGGTCCACAACCCCTGGACCAGTCCGAGGCCTGTTAGGAACTGCCTGCATGGAAGAAGGTGGGTGGCTGGCGAGCCAGCGAAGCTTCACCTGTACTTGCTGCTGCTCCCCAGTGCTAGCATCACCGCCTCAGCTCCACCTCAGATCATCGGGCATTTTATGCTCATAAGAGAACCGGTCCCTGGAGCCAAAAAGGTTGGGGACTGATGGTAATCCATTCACACCTGAATTTTAGATGCAAGTAAGCAGATCACCACAAGAAATTTAATAACCCTCCCCATTCTTTAACCACATCTTCAGCCAGTTAAGGTCAGTCTTTCCTAGGTTAAACCTGTTTGGTAATAATTATTTTGGATGGTATCACATGTAACCCTTATCTGGGCACAGGCCAGGCCTTTGTAGTGTATTAGGTTCAAAGCAGCCCTTTGCAGAGCCACTTCTGCAAGTATACAGAGTGCTCTCCTTTAATCTCCATAATTAAAAGCAGGTCTTTTAAGCTTCTCACTCTATGCCAAGGAAGAGCCAGGCCTGAGTGTCAAGGACCAGCATAATCCATCAATACCTGAATTATTTTCATCAACAAACAGTAAAGCCAGTCTCAGAATCAAGTCCTAACTATTTTCTTTGGAGAGGATTTTGACTACATTCCTCTTTTAAAGAGGAACAAAAATTTCTTAAGCAACTCAAATAAGGATATCCAAAGAAAAAGTTTTCCTAAACGCCAGTTTGGTCTTAAGCTTACCAAATCACAATTAGAAATAACACTCGAGGTTAAAACAGAAAAGTTATAAGCAAATGTTATTTTTTAAAGTGTTACAACATATAAATAATATATAACTAATCACTAAAAATAAGTGAAATAAATAGTAAATAAGTACTATGGAGTTGTAAAGTATGATTTAATCCAAGAAACCTATTGGCATATCTTCAATCTTCGATGCTCTTTTTAGTGGTAAAAGGAAAGAGTTTCAACTTACTGGCATATCCCCTTTACAGTGTGCCATTCATCTGGAATGGACTGTGGTATCTACCTGAGATTAGAGCTGAAGGTCAGTTTGGCCCAAGTCAGGCAATGATTTGATCCCTGAAATGTGAGGAAAGGTATATGATATCCATATGATAGAATATCATGAAACCTTTAAAATTTTTTATTAAGAAGAGTTTCCAAAGCCAATGATAGTATGTTAAAGTACAAGAATCAAAATGTAAAATTATATTTATGATCTCAATATAAAAGTACTGAGAAATAACGATATATTAATAGTGGTTTTTTGGGGGTTATTTGAGGGGAATGTAGAGAACTGTTTAGGCTTTTCTGGAGGCTAGCAATTAACGAAAGATTAATAATCTGCACAATGTTAGTAAACAAGCTGGAAAGTACCATGAAGGATTTTATAAATACTCAAGTATCGAGGGCACTGTTTTGCTGAAAGATTGTGGTCAGGCAAGCACCTGGGACTTTTACTGCCAGAAAGTACTTCCTGGAAAGAAGTAATGGGTTCTTTCTTAAAGTAGAAAAAAAACATAATTAAGTAAAATAATCATTGGTAACACTGAGGTAGCAACAGACTACCACACTTAAATTATGCTTAATTTTATTTTCATCTGGCTCCTCATTTTCTGTTTTTCATTATACAGTAATTAACTTATAGAGTATGTAGTTAAATATTTATGATGCTTTTTAAATAAGTGATATGCTTATAGAAAAAGCATACTTGATTCTATTATACATCTCTCGGCTCTGGGGCACCTGGGAGAACCTAACCACTAACCAGTCCCATCCCTTAATGGCTGAGAGCAGAATCTTAATGTCTAGGAAGGAATAAGCAGTACTGCAGGCATGCTCTGCAACTTCATAGCCATCAACAAATGTCTCACCAATCACACTAAATTTGAATGATACCAAATTTATTGAATTTCGACAAGTAGATTTAACAAAAATAAAAGAAAAACCCCTTACGTTAGAAAAGTAACCACCAATGGTGCACAAATTCCTTAGTATGGAGTTCAAAAATTCTCTTATCACGTGGCCCCAATCTAAATA